ACACATCTGTGCTCTTCCTGACAGTAGGACTGTGGAAGAAAATGGATTCACAAAAGATGCACAGTGAGCTGCAGAGTGACAAGTACTGACCAACTGCCACGATGACTCCTATGTAAACAGTATTAGGCAGGTGGTCATAATGTTATGCCTGAGCAGTGAATAGGCAACAAGGTGTGTTCACATATAGTCATTTTGTGCATGCAAACCAACAAACAGTCCTGTGATCATCATCACACACAGATAGGTCATTTCTATTTAATGCCAATATTTGCATACTGTCCATCATGATTTGCATTAATAGTTCAGTATAGCTTATCTACCTGACCTTTTCATGATTGAATGGACAATCACTGCCATTAGTCCTCCCAAATGCTTTGTCCTTTTAAATCCTCACTCCCTTTGTCTTGTCAAGGAGGGTGCTTTACTGTGGTTATTATGAGAGGCCCATATAAAAAACAATGCCAAGAAGCAGTAAAGGCCCCCACAGGTTGGCCAAACACATGGAAGACTGCGTGGGCTAAGCAGTTCTATACATGTATGGTGCAAATGCTACATAAATCTCATTTCTGTTCAGTTCAGTTCAGACAACTTTATCCCAATGGAATTTACAGGTTTACAATCCACCCAACCATACACAGACTCACATACAAGCAACAAGCAACAATCACTCATCACTGATACGTCAGGAACGGCAGGTCAGCACATGAACATCAGCATCAAAGGGGTATATAACTTAAGAAAGGGGGAAAATATCTGGAGTATAATCAGATACTATGATTTATTTATCTCATTTAGCAGCCTGATAACATAAGGAATAAAGGACTTGCAAGAGCCGTTTGTTTTGCTACAGGGTGCGTTGCAGCACAGGCCAGAGGGCTTCACAGTGAATTCACTGGACAGAACGTGGTGGGAATGGCTAACAATTCCTTTTGCTTTCTGGACAACTCATTCCTCCCAGAGGGAGCACATGCCTCTCTGCTGAACTCTGATTATTTTGGAACAGACCTTAACGATACTGTTGAGGGTATTGCTGTCCTTCACAGACAACCCATTAAACCAAGAGATAAAAGAGAAAGACTCAATAGAAGACTGATAGAATGTGCTTAAAACAGTTAGACATTAAAAGAATTAAGCTTCCGTAATAAAAGAATTCTTTGTTGCCCTAGCTTGATGATCAGCTTGGTGCTCACATCAAACTTAAGTTTGGCGTCAAACATGGTTCCCAGGTACTTATACTAGTCGCAATTTAGACAGTTAATCCTTGTTTTCAAATCAAATATGAACTCCTTAGTTTTTGGCACGTTAAGATCAAGGAAGTTATCATCACACAAATTAACAAAGGCAGGTAGGGCACAACCATGATGCGATTGAGCATTGGAGCAAGGCATCAGAGAGTTTTGCCAGACAACTGCCCGTATATAAAATAAAAAGCAGGGGGAAAAGTTCTGTTCCCCTACATTTCTAACCAAACCAAAACCCTCAGGCCATATCCCCTCATCCGTCATCTGTTATGACAAACGATGTAGTGCTTGGCCTGTAAAGTGTTTTGTTGTGAGATATCTGCCAGTGATGCATCTGTTTCTACAGTGTCCTTTGATCACATTGGGCAAGACTGAAATGACAGCAGCTAGTCAGGCATGAAGTGCACAGGGCACAGCAGAGGAGAGGGGAGACGAGATAGAGGAAGTGCTGGGTGGGTGGTATAGGAAGGAGGAGGAAGGCAGGTAAGACA